AGCTATCCGGATATAATGCAGTGTAGAATAGAATCACATAGAATAGAATAAAGCTTTATCAGTGAGGAAAGGTAATCATAATAAAAACATAACTTTAAAAATTCCAAACTCTAGGCAACATGAGGCAGAAAGACTGAGCAGAGGGATCAGTAGCAGTGTATGTGGCAACAATTCATGTTTAGAAATACTAAAGTATACACGCACAGAAATGTTAAATTATACGTTAAAAAAAGGAATCCCGTACATTATATTGACAAACTTGAATGTGAACGCAATCATGAATAGGCAGCAGATGTGCTCATCCATCAGAAATAAGTTTTGCAGATTTTGTGTTGATTCAAGATTATATGCAAATGTTTACAATAGCAATTGCTAAAAACACACTTTTTTTTCAATCAGTAATATTGCTACTTATCAGCAGTGACCTTCAAGTCCAAGTGAAAGTTAATTTGACATGAACATTTCTTGGCATTCAAAGCGTAGGATATTATGACACATACTTCAATCAGTCATTTTTTTAAAAAGTCATTAATGGTTTTAGAGGCTTATAGTTTAATGATTAATGGCTCTAAATAGTTTTTTTGGATCAATTTAATCAAATAGATGGGTGTGAACCAGCAGTTTATCACAGAGCTTGATGCGTGCATATCATTTCATATCAACCCAACATAAATCTAAGAGGTTTAATCCTCAAATAGTCCTCATCCAGTTGCCAAGTCTCAATCGCATTGTTCAACATTTACCGGCGACGAAAAATGTTTCGGAATACCGCGCCGCGTGAGGACATCACGCGTAGAAAGGAAAAGCAACCAAGGCTTTATTTCTCGGACAAAGCAACCCATTAGAGTAGAAAAAAAAAAGAAATTACCTCAAAGGAGCATATGTCCTTGTAGCAACGCAGCCAATAGAAAATGAAATAGTTCACCACTTTGAATGATGTATAAACCAGAAGTAACAACTATCCATTGACCATTCAGTCAATATTGAAGACAATGCTCAAGCATTCATACAAGTAGCGGTCTCGTCTGAAATAGACACTTCCTCTTAATGAATGCTCTGCAGACTCTCAAGAGGTGAATAAATAAATCGACCAGACGCTATTTGAGAAAATACGGTCCAGTGCCGTGAAAAAGTTATATATATATATATATATATATATATGAAATAGACACTTCTTCTTAATGAATGCTCTGCAGACTCTCTAGAGGTGAATAAATAAATCGACCAGACACGATTTGAGAAAATACAGTCCAGTGCCGTGAAAAAGTATTTGCCCCGCCCCCCCTTCCTGAATTCTGTTTTTTTTTTCATATCTATCACACACAAAGCATTCAAACCATCAAAGCCAATTCGAATATCACTCAGAGACAACCCAAAGAAATACAAAATGCAGTTTTACAAATGACAATTCAATTTCTTTTTCACGGCACTGTATATATGTCACAAATTATTCAATTATTTGGTCCAGGTTTGCTCGCTTTCACATATTCCCAAAACAGCTCACATCTCACCTTTATTCTAGGCTAGATAATTAGACTAGGCGGCAAACGCAATGGTGCTTAGGAGCGCTGAACAAATTGGCATGAAACTGCATCACTAGAATCTTCCTTGTATTGTTTTTAATTACCCGAGTCCAAAAGTGACAAAGCAATGACATCAATTCATTCTAGGATCAAATGAGATTAATTAGCACGGACATTAACGTGCCATAAAAATGAGATGGGATCGCACGGAGAAAAGCATCAGCCGAAAGAGTGGTTGGGCAGGAAAATAATCGAAGAGTGGAGTGGTAAAAAAAGCTGCAACACCAATCTTAAACCCGATGAAGAGCATCACTTTTGTGTATGGCAAACTCAGCATGCGCTATTGGCAAGTGAACTTTATCTCGTAAACATTGTGTTGAATGGTGTGGACATACAGTAGCATGAGCGTCCTCTCTGGGAGGAGGCACAAATTCTCCCAAGTGTAAGAGTTTGCTACAGCGAGGAGAGAGACAACCATGTCCTACTTGAGTAGGTGGATTAAAGGGGGTGAGAAAATGATTCCTCATGTTTATTTCATGACGTGATTCTTCAGTAAATAATCTCTCCTCTCGTATGACGCACTCGAATGTTTTTGTCCAGGCCACCTTATTTCTGCTCATTTATATAATCCATGACCTGCTAAACCGACCTAAAAGCACTTGACAGGATTAGACATCACTCAGCCTCTTGCTTGTTTTCGAATCTGTTTGGTTCCAGCATCAGTCTTCATCGACACTCTTTTCTTTCTTCCTCTCTGGATTTATTCTTATCATTTCATTCCTCCTCCTTCCTCTCGGTCTTCTGCCTTTTCGCTTTGTAGCTGGCGGAGAGTCTTCATGCTTTGCTATTAGTTATGCAAACAACCCTCTTCTTTTTAGACACTTGCATGTTTATGGTTTTCTACTGCCATTATAACGTATTCAAAAAACATGGCAATGACTTTCACATCTCCCAATGACCTGATTCAGCTCAGAGGTTGATGCCCTGCTCACTGGTGGAGCCATTTGCAGCAATCGCAAACAAATCAAAGGACGGCTTATCTCCATCTTCCTGTCCTTGCCCTGCCCTCATCTGTTTGATGCTCTCCGTATAATTTTGCATTGCACATTGCCCTGAGCAGTGTCTGAAAGCGGATGTGCGTCCACCCAAGCGCTTTGATGTCGACCATTTTGTTGGATCCTTGCCCAAAAACTTGTGCGTGAGTATGTGCGTCTCACCATGATCTTATTTCAACTTCCAGCGACAACGATAGCCATCAAGCTACATGCAAGTGTGATGTTTATGGTTTCTCAATAGACTAATCTATTTCAGTGTTCATAAGCTGGAGGCCAACTGACTCGAGCTCCAGCTGACACTCACTCGAATGTCTCCCAGCAGCCTGTTGCCATGGTTACTCCAGCTCAGTGGCAGCCAGATGCAGCAGTGTAATGTATGATCTAATGTATGTTCATTTTCCCTTCACGAAAGATTAGTGTGTTACTGGGATTGGGCATCCCCTGAAAGCCTTGTCTTCATCCCAACCAAGAGTCACCGTGCTTTCAGGTATCCTGAACAGTCCCTTTTTGGAAGACAACAGCAAACGAATGT